CAGAACTTGGAGCTGAATGTTCCTGTACCTGCCATTCGACGAAAAGCACCATACCTTGCCATGCTTGGTGAAGCTGTTTCCCCGTGCACATGCCAGATCCGCCAGTAACCGATCTTAATCAGTTCTGATCGGTTATCTCAGTTCGTTTCCTTGTTTTTAATACCCAGGGCTGTAATGGCTGAACAGATCGCCTAATCGATAATATTTTATTTATATAAGTAAATTTTAATCAGCAACTCTGGCATTTTACGTGGTTTAGGAGTTTCTGTTTTGGTTATTTTAATTTAATTAGGACAAGAGGGTAATTGAAAAAAAACAAAAAACACGAAATATACGTACGAGATAAGATTTAAAAAGACATGTAGCCAATGGAGTAAATGGATAACTTAAACTATAAAAAAAAGCGAGCAATGGACAAAACGAACGCAATCGTGCGATTTTCAAATTTCCCCCATAACTGTTCTAATGGTCCTTTTATTATTGGGGTGAGATTTAGTTCTCAGTAGACGTGTTTGAGACCCTAACAAGTGTCCCCTCACTTAGGTGATTCTACTGCGATTATTACATGTTAGTTGACTTAACCCTCCCGGGAGGTGGAAAAATGGCCGCGTTGAGACAGCGTCACGATCGACTGGTAAGCAGCGAGCTGAAATAATTATTGAACCGTCACACGTATGTAAGATACACTTTGTGCGTTACCAGGAAGTTTCTCCCGCATTGAATGCGTTACATGAGTATCTACATATGTAGAACTCAAATACATATTGTGATTTCGCAGTAGTTTGATGCTCCCTCTTTGGAATTCGAAGATTTTTTCTTGACAGTTGTAATAAGATGTTAAGTGTAAAAGGTCACAATAGAGTCGAGCTACTTCTTGTAAAGAGTACGCATGCTGTTGTATCGAGAGAAAATGATTTACCGTGACATTTACACAAATATCATTGATAAATTTGATGTAATCTCATGGCTATCTAAGCTGTACATGTTGCACGGCGTCGACCAAGGCCACATATTTTGTTACACTAAAACGGGTATTTACTTGCTTTTACAGTGCCGTAAGGTGCTAGTCATTTGCAAGTTCAGTTATGCCCATCTCTAATTGTTTTTCCCAGGGAAATTCTCAGTCGTGTTTCCAGTGCACTTTCCCTTGCGATTTTCAGTGTGGCACCAAAGATTTTTAATAAGAGTTTGAAGAAGTGAGCAGAAAGCTGAAAAAGGCTTAACCTAAGTGGTCAGATTTATTGGTTACCCAATTTGAGTCAGGGGTTAGGTCACGTACGCAAAAGGGTCACGCGAAGGATGAACTTACGAGGATCTTCAAATGTTTTCTACCTTTTTGGTAGTTATATATGTCACCAAACCTAACATACTTCTCTTTTACTAAGTTTAAGTTTTAAGTATACGTTGAAATATATTTTTGGATATGAAGTATTAACTCAACAGATCATTTCTTCAAGTATAAGAAGTTTTCAAGTATAAGTTCTGGAATGTTTCGGAATATTTTTAAGTTTGTAAACCGCTTCAGTCGCGTTAAGAGACATACTGGCACTTAAAGCGTGATTAAGAAAGATTAAAAGCGACTTTACTTAACCTTCACAGTTTCACAGAAGAAACATAACGATGCTGACTGCTTTCAATAGTCATTTATTTTTTTCCGTGTATTTTCGAAAAACTGACGCTATAATTAGCTTGAAATGAACATCGAATTCTCCACACGCACATGCGTCTGAGTGGCCGGATCAAGTTTTATTTAACTGCCGAGACAAGACTTACTTTCCAAAGGCTAAAATTTCCAGGTGTATATTTTGATAAATGAGCTTTCGTCTGGTATGGTTATAATGTCGAAGTTTTAGGTACCAGGTGTCGTCTAAACCGGTCAAAGTTAGTCTTCATTTTGTCTCCCAAAATATTTTGCAAAATACACCTCAATAAAAACGGCCATAAAAATCCTACCAAAGAGAACTACAGAAAAAAAAAATTCACATGCTTTCACTTTGCAGTGATATTGTAATTATTGTGCAAAGTTTGATGGTGAATAGACTTTCTTAGCACTGCCAACATCTTCCTAAAGTTGCGTGACGATTTGACCGTTTAGGCAAGGCGAAAACGGCTTTCTTAGCGAATTTTGAAACTTTTTAAATTTTCAGCCGAAAAAAAAAAACCGCTGGAACTTTAAAAATATTTTTTTCCGAAACTAGTTCACAGAAAGGGATGTTTTGGTAAAATAACAAAAAATTAGAGTTTTGGTCACTGATTTTCGATTCTCGAGATCTTCTGGAAGCCTCTCTTAAAATGGTTTTGAAAAGCTACCAGGTTCGTTAATTTGCGAGAGTTAAAAAGAGAGCTATTCAGTCATTCAAACATTTTCACATATTAAAAGAGGTAAATTTCGACTTAAATTACACCATCGCCATCTGTATGTTTACGGAAGAGCATTATAATTTCAGGATAGACTCGTGACTTAGATCAGGCTAAAAAACCAATTGTTTAGTAACAAATCGATTTAATGGCTTCCTGAAGAAAATCGCTTGGAGTGTTTTGTCCAGCTTAGATCCCCGAGGAAAGCCTTTGTGAACAGCTGTAAAAAAGGACAAACTAATCTACGCTGTAGTAGTCTCCGCTTCTGCCATATTTTTTTTTCCGAAGACAGTAAGAACGCCATAGGCTCAACTACTTGGAATTTGGTTGCAATACAATGTACATGCTTAAAAAAATAATCTTTCAGAAGGAGCGTTGATACTCACTTAACAGAGATATTGTTATCAGAAATGTTCCCCGTATTTGACAAGTTTCGGTCATCATCATTTTTCCTCCGATGTGCGGTTAAGGAATTACTCTCAACCAAAGCGAGCTTTTTGCAAATTTCAATTTGCTGTAGATCAGTGCAGAATTCCCTTTGCCAGAATAACCACGAGACTTATGGGCATTCTCTTTTACGAAATATTTTAAAAGTCTGTTTGATCTTACCGTGTTGTTTTTAAGACAGAGCCAGATGTGACAAGGCGGAAAAACCACCGGACATGCGTAGTACCAAGCGCGTTTGACTCCCGCCATTCCATTTTCAAAATGGCGGACGACAAATCAAAATCTAACACGTCATAGTGGATGCCATATAGCCGCTGTCCTCGCAAAGAGGACTTTGCAATCAGCCAACGGAATCTGCTATGATTTTACCATTCACCGGAGCTGTTAGAAAACAGATCGGAGTTATTTTTGTTTGCTAAGACGGTTATGTTTATGGGCAACTTCCAAGCCTTGTTTGACGTTCGTTGTTTTAAAGAAGCACCGAGGTGTTAGGTTTCTTAAGGTGTTCGTTGACTCTTCAAGTCTAAAAGATTTTTCCAAGGTAACTAATTTATGAGAAAAATATCAAGTATGAATTTTTTTTTCGAGGATATGAAATTCTTTTAGAGCTCTTTGAAGCTGGACTTTTACAGCCATAACTTAAGAGCCCCATGCGTATATCCTCCTGGCGAAAGCTGCAGGCCTGTAAGTGCATTTACAGCCCAAAAAAAAAAAATTTATAGCTCTACCGGCACTGAAAGGAACTGCAGTTTGAATTAGTTTTACATCACAAGTGAATCGTTCCTTTTGACTTCATCTAGTCATCACATTTGAGGTCAAGGTTCGGCTTAAAAGTTTAAGGTTTAAGCCTGTTATGCTCTTAACGACCTTGATTCATTAAATAATTTTATAACACGTAAAACTTTGTGCTTGTGATGATCGCTGTCGTGATATTAGTGATTTCCCGCCGCTTTCCCTCCTAAGCTTCTGCTACTGAGCATCTGGCGCAGTGGGTCTCGCTTCAGAATAAAGCGGGTAAGTTTCTGAAGAAACTGTGGTGCTGCGTCGGTGTGGGTAACAAGGTAATTTGGTAATATCAACTACATTGAAATTGTCATTGGCCACCGTAAAGAGTTAAAAAGCTGACGTTCGAGCTTTAGCCCTTCGTCAGAGCGAAGGGTTAACGCTCGAAACGTCAGCTTTTTAACTCGTTACGGTGGCCAATTTACAATTTCAACGTAGTTGATATTACCAAATAGTCTCGTTTCAGGTTGCAAAAATGTTGCCAACCGACGCCGGCTTTTGTCTTCATTGATAAAGAGCCGTATTATTTACATGTTTTGCGCGAGGGCGAAGCGAGGTCTCAGAAGTACTCCCTCTAACGACTGCTGGGGAAATGTTTCAATTTGGTTGGGCGAAAGAGCACGAGCCTATGGCTTTGTCGATAATACGCCTCTTTGCAAAAGAAATATTTCGACGAGTTGAGTCACTCTAACAAAGAGATGCTACTTTCCGTTTACAGACCATGAAAATCCCTGCAAAGGTCCCCTAATTCGGTGCCCTAAGCGTTTGTTTCCCGCATTTGATGACACAGTGTTCACACTAGAACACTTCTATGTGAGCACCACTTATAGTCAGTTGAAAAAGATGACAGAATTCGTAATATGGAGGGATATACGACACAAACAAAGGTACACGAGGGTGCATTATCTTATTTTCAACATTCACACAGCATAGATTTAAATTTACCCTACCCCTTGTAAATTGTATATTCCCTTTTTGTTGGCGCCCTAGGACAGGCAGTAAAAGTGATAAAAGCTGATAGTTTCTGAAGAAACTTTTTGGGGCTGCGTCGGTGGGGGTAACGAAACAATTTGAATCTATTAACAAAAGTTGAAATGGCAAATTGGCCAGCGTTACGATTATAAAAGCTGACGTTTCGAGCGTTAGCCCTTCGTCGGAGCGAATAGAGGAATTGTGGGCGGTGTGTGCTTTTAAAGGTAAAAAAAGGAGCCACGTGATTGGTGGGAACATGGCAACGAGAAAAAGCACACACCGCCCACAATTCTTCTATTCGCTCCGACGAAGGGCTAACGCTAGAAACGTCAGCTTTTATAATCGTAACGCTGGCCAATTTACCATTTCAACTTTGTTGATATATTCAAATTATTTAGTAAAAGTGATACCCCTGCCTAGTAATACGGAACTTACAGAACACGTTAAAACCCTTAAGAACGAAAATAATCTAATGGAAATAAAACAGAAAGAGATTGAGGAACAAACCAAATACCTCCAAAGGAAACTTGAAGGTGGGTGTTTAATATCAACCTTATCGGAAAGAGCGAAGAGAGTACATTACCCTACCACCCCCACCCTACTTTCTCAGTTAATTGAAGTTCAGTTAAGAAGTGTATTTATTATATAGCTGTGTCTCACAGGGACTGGGAACTACCGAATTCACAAATTTGATTGGCTCACATCACCATTGAAAGTGGTCTAGATTTTCTCATCTAGACCGGCATCTAGACTGGTCTAGAAAAAAAGGTACACAGAATATAAAAAAATTGGCATATAAGACACAGCCATATAATAAACACCTTATCAACCGAGCTAGGTCGGTCTGTATGGGAGAATCTTGACCTCGGTCGCTGTTAGAGACCTCACTGCGTTTGGTCTGTACTGGTGACCTCGGTCAAGATTCTCCCATACAGACCTCCAGCTCGGTTAATAAGAACTAAAACAAGATTTTAACTAATCAACTGCTTAGAGCTAACAATGAAATTGGTATGATCTTGCACCATTCACAAATCTATGGACATAAATGAACATCTGTGAACATCAAAACCCAAACAATTTAGTGAATGTTGTTCACGCCAATAACTATTTTATTTGGTGACTGACTTGTTGACAGAAATTGCTCAGCAGAACACTCATTTAACACAAAGAAAAAATCATTGCAGGAAATTGAATGGTGAATTAAAAGAGGATAACATGCTTTGCAGGAAAGTTCAAGGTAAACCCTGCATATATATAAAACATTTGTGTGAAGTTATAGAGAGCATGGTAGTTAGTGTGCTATGCAAAATCGTTTTACTACTTTTCAAAATATCAAGGAGACACAAGATTAAGCACTCTTGTACAACAGTTCCATAAAGCACTGGTGAGACACAATTCCCTCTGAGGCAAGCACCATATGATCTAGACTAAATGGAAAGTTGTGCAAGTCTCATACCCCTGGCTTGTTTGATGGTAACTTCACCACAATAGGCAACACTGAAAAGCAGGCACCCTCAAACAGGCGAATGAAATTGCAACACACCAAAGTAGCTGCCATTCTGCACAATCTGAGCTTCTTAAGAAATTGGGTATAGCACTTAGTTTCTTACTTAAGGGTGAAAAGAACAGAAATTGAAGTCAAAAAAATCTAAGCACATGTTCCCATCTCAACCTAAATATGGAAAAAATATGCAAAATAAAACAGACTAAAGTAATATTGAATATAAAACACCATTAGCAAGTAAAGAAAATAGACATGTTAAAGTTACATGTACCAGAAAGTAGTCAATAAAAGCCAATGGAGTGTCTTTTATTGCCATGTCTGTANTAATGATGAGGATGATAATGATGATGCAGTTGCCGATGATACTGCCTCTGCTATTGGTGATAACGCTGATGCTGATGCTGCTGGTGACGACAATGATGTTGATGATAGTGATGATGCAGTTGCCGATGATGTTGCTTCCACTACTGGTGATGATGTTGATGCTGCTGGTGAAGATAATGATGGTGATGATACTGATGATGCAGTTGCCGATGATGCTCCTTCTGATATTGCTGTTGCTAGATTTGATAATAATAAAGACTTTAATGTGGGTGATGAAGATGCTTCTGCTAGTAATACAGTTGCTGATGATGATTGCGATGATGGTGATGGAAATGGTGATGGTGAGATTATTGATAGCGGTGGTTGCGTCGATGATTGGCGTGGAGCTGAAAGATGAAGAAAATTCTCATTGTCAAAATAAAATTGACACTCACATTTGAAAGCAATGATAAAGTGTAGCGAAGTTAGAGTATGGCAATTAAGTATTATACTATTTATAGAATCTTAAGGACTTCGTGTATTAAGTACTTAATGTGCAAATTGTACTCACCGTAAGTCTCAGTTCCTTTCCCTGCTGAAGGTTTAGTTGCAAAAGGAAGAATACCGTTACACATAACGATATTAGACGTGTATAAATTTGAAGTGCTGTAGATACTATTTGCATACTTGGTGCATGTGCACGTTCCTTGGCTCGTACAAGTTTCATAGATTATCGTACTGAGAGGCGGTGTGTTATAGGACGACATGAGACTTCCACAGCAAATACCATTTCCAGAGCACACAAGCTTATCCCGAGAACTGATTGGCCAGGTTCTAGTCATGCGGCATTCGTCAGCTGTGCACCTCTGTGAACAATAATCAGCGTCACAGTGCATATTGCACGCATTTCCCTTTTCGCATAGCTGCTTTGTACATCTGCCTCCGCTACATTCCATATCACATGTTTTGGCCTTGCAAATTTGTTCACAATAATTACTGCTACATCCCAGACGCATTGTGCATTTTTCTACCTGATCTTCGCATTTCTGTATTTTACACCTGCCTCCGCTACATTTCAATTTACATTCTTTTTTAGCCTTGCAAGTCTGTTCACAATCCTTCTCGCAAACTGGCAGATGCATTGTGCATTGTTCTACCTGATCTCCGCATTTCTGTATTTTACACCCGCCTCCGCAACATTCCAATTGACATTTTTTTTTAGCCTTGCAAGTCTGTTCACAATCCTTCTTGCAACCTAGCAGATGCATTGTGCATTGTTCTACCTGATCTTCGCATTTCTGTATTTTACACCCGCCTCCGCAACATTCCAATTGACATTTTTTTTTAGCCTTGCAAGTCTGTTCACAATCCTTCTTGCAACCTAGCAGATGCATTGTGCATTGTTCTACCTGATCTTCGCATTTCTGTATTTTACACCCGCCTCCGCAACATTCCAATTGACATTTTTCTTTAGCCTTGCAAGTCTGTTTACAATCCTTCCCGCTACATAGCAGCTGCATTGTGCACTGTTTTACCTGATCTTCGCATTTCTGTGTTTTACACTTGTCTCCACAACAAATCAGATCACATGTATCGTTGTTGCAATGTCGTTCATTTTCGCTGCATTCCATGTTACAACAATTATGAACGTTGCTGCAATTCCAAAGAGGTTTACAATTCGATGTACATTTACTGGGATCACAAGCATTTTTACCTCTCTCAAAACCTAAAAAATAAAAAAAAGATACTTATAGTAATGATACCGATGACCATAGTTCTGACCATTCTAAAGCGACGCTAGCAGAAATCGCCAATTCATTCGCAAGCTAGGTACTGATTGATATAAACACTAACAGACTGTCAGCATTTTTTTTTAAATGGACGAAAATCATCACCCTTTATTATTCAACTGAACTCTGTAGAGTACAAATAACGCCATAGACGAGTACAAATATCACGCGGTCTTTGTACTCCAAATAACTGGTAAGACAGGTTTTCTCGCATCGTGCAAGCGAATAATTGGATTGAAGTCACGAAAAAAAAATGGCGGACAGTCTGAATCATATTTCTGACGGTAAGGAGTCGGGATGGCTGGCAAAATGTAATTACAGATCCAAGTTTATTAGGCGAATCAAATGAAGAAAAACAGTTCGACCACCAGGAAATTTTGTCACTTATTGAAGAAAATAGAAACAGCAACTCGACAACGCACCAATTCCGTTTCACTTCGCACGCTTCTGCCACGCACTCCCCGTAAATACATATCCGCCAAATTCGCCCGCACTGGAATAAAAATTTGGCCATTTGGATAATAAATAATTTATTAGACGTTTTGTTGTGTAGTCTCGCTGAGTATTTCTACTCGTTATTAGTATTTTGACTCGCCTTACGGGCTCGTCAAATTACAGCAAAACTCGTAAGAATAATTAGCGACACTACACAACAAAACTTCTAATAAGATATTTGTATTTCATCTGATATCGCATCATTAATATCATTCTTCTATGGTTCATGTTGCTGTTTGCAGGGATCGTCCTTAATAAGTTAAGGGGGTTAAGAGTGTGTTGTCCAACACAGGGTAGGATTGTAAGAGTATTTTTGTCCTATACAGGGTCAGGATTTGAAACCCTCAGCGGCACCACTATGCCCAAACAGCAGTCAAGTACCCCGCGGGGGGTATAATTTGACAAGAGAACAAATATACGCTGTCACTATGTTCAGAAATACATACACTTTTAAAGCCTCTTGGCAGCTGGCCCTCTTAAGATTATAGTGCAACGCTTAGTTCCCATATCGAATACTTTTTATATCAGGGATGTTGGGTATATCCTCGAGTATTCCTCAGTATTTCGAAATTCTATAACTGAATGGTGTTGGCTTTTCAAATATCGTTTATTAGAATGAATGCAAGGGGGAATTGAATCAATAATAATGTTAAAGCTAAAGATGTAAACGAAAACTGGACGAGGGAAAAGAAAAAGAAAAGGAAATCCGCCGGATCCTTTAAAAGAGGACTTGAAATCTTTTTCGTTGACCTACTGAGTGTGGCGGTATAAGGTTAATCCTTTTTAAGTATTTTTTTAATTAAAAAGTTGGGCCAAAACTGTCGCGACGCCATTTGCATGTTTGCGTCTGAGTTTCATATTTTCATGATAGACCCCTAAATTGAATCAGGCTTAAGGTCTGTAGCTCAGAAACACATTAGCATACTGGCCTATTGAGATTACTCCCCTAAAACATTTTTTCTTGGCCCTTCGAGGAAAGCCTGTGTGGTCAGCTCTCACAAAGGAGAAAGTAATTTAAAACCATTCTAAGTTCAACTGTCTCTGTTTTCTCCCAATATTTTCGAAGACTACTCGTCGGGCAGCCTTAAGTTCGACTCCTCGAAATACGCTTACGATACCTAATTAAGCTTTCAAAAGAAGCTTTGGTACTCACTCAACAGAGTTATTGAAAACAGGACTGTTACCCACAACTGGAATCTTCTTGTCGTTGTCATTATTTTCCGTTGCGTGGATTGAGTTCCTGCAAGCTGAACTAAATGCAAATTGTGAGTGGCTATAGACCGGTCCAAAATATCCTTTGTAATTATAAATGCCAGGCTTCCGAGAATTCTCTTTTCAGAAATATATACATATATATATAATCGCTCAGTACTGCCTGCTTCTACGTATGATGCAGGAAACTGAATCCAAGCTATTGACGTCGGCTCAAGAAATATAGAGAGTATGATATCAAAATTTCAAGAATATTCTTATGTCGCATTTTTAAACTCTTTTAACAAATTAATACATGCCACACAACAGATGGCGAAAAACAATACAGTTTTGAATAATACAGCCTTAGGTTAAAAAAAAAAAACTACTTAGTGGGACAGGTGTTAGTCATTTCAAACTCACTATCAACTACTGAGAGTAGTTAGTGTTTGTTTAGCACGTTCACATCGAATTACATTTTTTTTACGGATCTAGCATCTCATCACAGAAGTTGCTTCGAAACCGTGATCACGACTCCAAATGAAATGTTCTGTCACAAATAGCTTTTTTTTATCGTCGTTTTTTTCTAATGACTCTCACTAGGTGGTCCAGAGCTGAATATCTTGCCTGCATATACCACGCACTACAAAGTGCTAGTGACAAAATATGTGACATTTTTCATTTCTTAAAATGATGAATGGAAATAATAGCTCAACATAGTTTCATTTGTCGTTTGACTTTAAAACCGTGACAGACCTATGAATTTCGTCATACTTTCCCCATTAGACATCCTTAATATTAGTCTGTAAATGTGGGGATTATAGTCACGCGGAGTATTTTTTAGTCATCATTATTCAATGCAAACTGAATAAGGAGGGGGGAGGACTTTAGGGCGGTCACACGGTTTTTACGAGGGACGGAAAGGGGATCAGCAGTCGGCAACAGAATGTGATGATGAGGATTACAGAAAAATGACTGCCAACGAGAAAGTAGTCAATAAAAGCCAATGGAGTGTCTTTTATTGCCATGTCTGTAAAACTTAACTAGAGTCTTTTCCATGCCTGATATCAGAAAAGCTGTTCCATGCAGAAGGCCAATGGTCTCCAAAATGAAAATGAGTGGGGCTAGTTACTCCTCTGTCATATCTGGAATTGTCCTTGGATACAGCTGCCATCCAATGATATCCACTTCATTCATGCAAATCGAGAACCAAAAAAAAATTGTATGCCATGGAAAAACCTCAAAGTGTTGATGACGTTTGGTGGTTTGGTGCGGTAATGTAGAGGCGGCATCCATGTGCCCTCCATACTTCAACACTTTTCTATGGCATTGATTGAATTCTTTGTTGTCAGCTACTTGAGCACATTACCACCAGGACATAAAAACCTGGACCACACAAAAGTAAAAAAAAAGTTGTGAAAACCCGAGGTAACATGAAAAAATCATTATTTTTTTTTCCAACTGCAATCACTCAATTAATTTCTCCCAGTTACTGATAGGTATCACCCATCTATCTACCTCCAGATACCCCACTATTTTGACACTCCAATTTTATTTTTAAAATAAACACAAATAAAAATTATTTTAAGATTCAAGAAATGGGACAAAGATAGAAGGCTCCCACTTACTTTAATCACCAAAAATAATACAGGTTTATTGTGATCAAAAGAAATAATCACACAGAGCAAGAAATGTAATTAACTTTAAGAGTGAATTCTAAACCAATCCTCTGTAACCCATGCCAAATGACAAGAGTTTTTCTTTTAAGAGTTTATTCAGGTGAGGATTGAGATGATTTAGAACTCCTTAGCACAACATGGCTAATGAATGAATTTGAAGAAAATATATAAAAATGGGGGCAAATTTACAATGTTCAGTGCTCTTAGCCTCCTTCTGGCAGAGGCTCCTGACTTAGGATTCTGACAGGGGACTTTTCCACCTGGAAATACAACAATACTCAAGATCTTCAGGCACCAAAAATATGTTTCAGCTTGTCTTCACTGCAGTAGACTTTCTTATTGACATGTTTTGTGAATTTTGGGCCACCTAAAGGCATACACAAAAGTTGTCTAAAGGAAAAGAAAAGTATGAGGTTGGTAAATGCATTGACAAAAATGCTCATACTGTAAAAATTCATGTTAAATGTAAATGGTATGTGTACAATTCTTCCAATCAATTACATAATCGGAGTAATGAAGATGAAACCTAAACAATACCTTGCATATTTTTTGTTTTTTGATTTTTTTTGCTTTGCAGCCATGCTATTTTCCAGCAGTAGATGGAACAGTAGACCAATGGTGTCTCCAAATGGGCTTTTCATTCTTTGGAAACCTTTATTTTCTAAATAAATCCAAAGAGCTACCATCGCTAAGCGTACAATGAACTCCCAGATGCTAAATAATCTTTTTTAGTATAATTTCAGAGCTGAGCAAAGAGTTTCCAGCAATCTGATTGGTCGAGTGGTTCCTATAGCATTATAACGCAATATAAACCGCTCCACACAGTTTATATAAAATGTTAAAATAAAAAGTTAATAAATGATACTAAAAAGTTATGATTTTAGAAATTTCTCTGTTGTTCAGCTCTGAAATTATACTAAAACAATTATTCGCCTCAGGTTCAGTGAATATTGTCGAATAATCCCCTCGACTTCGTCTCAGGGATTATTTGACAATATTCACCTCGCCTTCGGCGAATAATTGTTAAGTATAAAACTGCCAGAGGACAAAGAACTTTCTACTCCAGAAAAGTCAAAAACGGTGGAACTTATTAAACCCTACTCTTAAGTTGAAACCAACACTAAAGGACTTCAAATGTTGCCTGACGAGAAGCCCTGACTCAAACTTTTTAGAGACCTCATTTCTTTTGTATTTGTTACTTAACTAATTTAATTAATTAATTTGATTATGTTATCTGTTTTCCAGTTAATCAACTCATCAATTTATTAGTACATAGTCTTTATTATTTCTTTATTCTGAAAAGCCCATTTGGGACGAATAAAGTATGTATGTATATGAGCCAGACATAACGTTGGCATGTGACCACTGTTAACACTCTGTTAACACTGATTTCACTCGTGAAGTAATTCGGCTTGACGGTGCCATTTAGAGCAGTTCCTCACGGCTCCATGATAAGGCAAAAGCGAAGACGAAGGAAAATTCACATATTTAACTTTTGCCGTTGTATTTGGTATCAAAATAAAGCTTGCTCTTCGTATTTTTGCAGGATAATGCTTTCAATTCATCCCGCGCTTTCCCAAACAGCAACGCGAGCATTATATATACCATTCCAAACTAGTTTCCAGGGCTATAACTTATGACAACGGCCATATCGCCATCTTTGGCGAAATAGCGTGACCAAAAATTGCCGACATCTGACCCGGCGTGGAACCACACAGAATAACCATGGACAACGCGTGTGTCAGGCCGCAGGATGTGACATAAGTGTAGTCTTGCATGAATTACATACCCACAGTTGATTACAAACTATACGTTCATCTCATCTCCGTCTCCTTTATTTGTTTGAGCAGGTTGAATTATGGCAGCTATTTGCTGACGTGGACCTGCTATCTTCCCACCCATGCCACCCCAGGGGAGGACATCCACCACACAGTAATCTCGTGTGTGGGAAATTAACGTCCCTGCCCCAACCCTGCAGGAGACGGAGCCTCCGTTTATTCGTCCTTATCCGAGAAGACTAGAATATCTAACCATTTCTCGATGTCATAAAAAGGTAACATATTCTTCTCACATGTTTTAGGACCTTGAGTGTTGGTCCGGCCGGGGCTCGAACCCTCGACCTCCCGCACAACAGTCCAGCGCACTATCCATTGGGCTAACTGGTCGGCTAACTTTTACGGCTGTTGCGTTTTCTAGTGGTAACATGTCTAACTAAAATGCAGGCAGCAGTTTGAAACGTATGGTTTTTAATAGCACTCTGTTGCGCATTAGATCAATTATGGTTTTTTTTGGTATCTCCATCATTTCATTTAGTCCCCAGTAAGAATAACCAATATGGCGGACGGGAAGCGCTTTGATCCTGTGTATATTAATGGAAGGAGACTTTGTAATTTTTCAAAGTTAAAACCCAAAGATAAGTCGAAGGTGAGGAAAAAGGTGCAAAAAAAGATCAGCAGCAACCCCTTTGGATGAGGACAGAAGCGATAAAATGCTCTCCGTTGGCGAGCTCGATCTCGAACTAGACGATGACTTGGGTGAGGGACAGCACTCATACCCTTATGAAGATCAGGGTGTATTGCAACAAATTCAGGCTGAAAGTTCGGGAACTGAAACATAACAGCAACAACCATCTATTATTCAAGAATACGTGCTGCTTCTCTGTCGATTTGAAGCCGTAACCATGCTAGATTACGAGAGGTTTTGCCTTCCCAAGTTCAATGATAGTCAACACAAGCTTTTGGTGGGTATTTCTTCTTAACTAAGTATTAGTCGTATTTAATACTTCATTTATCTGAACCGATTTAAATCTTGTTGTTTGATTTGGATTTATACGAGAAGACTTGTGTAAAGTTCCTGACTATGTCAATTTTGCTGTTGTTGTAGTTTTTATCTAGAGTGTAGTGATGCAATTAGGGTCACTGTTTGTGTACATTTGTATCGGCACTAGGTAAATAGGCTTTTGTAAAGCAAAATAATTAGATTTTATAAATAAAACCTGATTTTAAATTATCTATACTTGTCATACATTTAACTTTGTGCTGTCCCTGCTGGCACCATTTGAGTTCCACTATATGTGGCCAGATGGCCAAAAAGCAGTTTTAACCAGCAGTCAAAAGAAAAATTAGATTATATTTTCGCTGAATGGTCATGCACAGTGTATTACTTAGCCATACAATAAACACATGTATATCAATTTTCTTTTGCTAGAAAACAGATGCATTTCTTGTTCAAGACTAGGATATTTTCCTTTAATAATTATCATGCTTGTAACATACTATATCCTATGATTAAACAAAGCTAAAAATTTACATGCATCATTTTTCACTCATCAAATAATCACCATACAATACTTCTTGAACTTACATTGATCACATCTCCTTGTAAAAGACTCCACAATGCTTCTTTTAAATGCACTTTTCACTTCGTC